TATTTCGCAACGAACAAAATACTGGGGAGTGAAAATAGTTCTGTACAGTTCTGATAGGTGACGCTTTTCACTACCTTATCAACATTGTTTTAAAGATACGAAAATCTAGTTGAAGATAATTGTATTGATATTGTCATAGGCAATATTTATAATTAAGAAATTTGTATTATTGTTTACTTCCAAGGAGTTATTAACGTCACGTGATGAGTACATAGCTTAAGAACTAGCATTTTCTTGAAAGTTAGAAAAGATTTTAGCGATATAAAACTTTAATTAGAGTAAAGTTAATTGTTAATCGATTTTTGAGTTACGAGTGTGTTAGTTTCTCTGTTCCTTAGACAATTGATTTAGCTTTTTTAATTTAGAGTTTGTATTTCATAGAAATACTAGTGATACAAGATAAGTTCCAAGTAAATGACAGTTTAGCGTCATTTGTGATGTTAAGCCATTTGTTAGCTCGTGAAGCCGTGTAAGTAGTAAGGTGTAGTCGAAGAAATAAAACGCTTTTTTTTATCATTAAGTCGAGTTGACTTTAAATTATTTTCTTACGGTATAATCCAAAAGACCCTTTCCAAAAATATATAACTGTGTGTGTGTGTGTGTATATATATGTGTATGTATTAAGTTGTTAAGCGTATTTATTTTAGATCACCCCGTTCTTCATGGCTGTGCTTTTGATATCCAGTGATAAAATATTTCTAAAACCAAAACCCTACTCGTGCTTGGCGTTAACACTGCTGTGAATCGATTAGTTATTGAGTATTAAACTCTCAAGTTGTTGCATGTTTCCAGGGCTTCACGCGCATGCGTCATATCGATCATTCCGCAGCTGTGACGTCATAGACTCTAGCGAGCTAAGATTTCATAGAAGATTTGCTTCTAGATTAACATCACGCGATACATTGTTTACATGCTTTACTGTATTTCGAGTTTTCTTCCAATTTTCAAAATACCTGTTTAAACCCTAATGAACGCTAAAAAGTTTATTAATTTGGATTGTGTCAAATATGCCTATTCTATAAATAGATAAGAATGACACAGACAATTTGTGAATGAGATTAACAGCAAGCACGAGGAGACCCTTCACCATGTGGATAGAGTAGAAACCGCTGGTGGGGCACGCTTAACCATACGGTATCTGTCTACCTCCCCCCGCCTCGAATTCCGGCCGTGGTTCTGTGGATTTGGTCAGCATTTGTAGTTTTGGTTATCACAGAAACCTTGATGTTGGGCGTCTTTCGTAAGCACTTGAAACCCAAGCGGTAAGCCTAATTTTTGTATGCCACTTTATGTAGCTATAGTAGAAAAAAATGCATCAGGGTGAAACCTAAGCGATAACCTTAATTCTCATGTAACTAAAGTAGAAAGAAATACATCCGGGTGAAACCAAGCAGTAAGCCTAACTTCTTTTGTAATTACAGTAGAAAAAAACACAAAAAAAAACATCCGGGTGAAACCCAAGCGGCAAACCTAACTTCTTTAGTTCTTATGTATCTATACTATAGTAGAAAAAACATCAAGGTGAAACCCAAGCTGTAACTTGTAAGCCTAACTTCTTGTATAACTACAGCAGAAAAAACATTCACGTGGAACCCAAGTGATAAGCCAAACTTCTTATATAACTATTATAAGAAAACATTAATATGAAACCCAAATGGTAGGCCTAACTTATTATGTAACTACAGTAGAAAAAACATCCAGATGAAACTCAAGATCTAAGCCTAACTTCTACAACAGAAAAATAAAAACAAAACCAAAAGTAACGTTAATTTATTACTTTATAAACTACAATTTGAAAGGTTTTGTAGACAGGACAATGTTTAACAGCAATATATGTAAATCTCGAGAAGTTTTTGAAATATATTATCATAAAAACAAAACAAAAAATAAACGAGTGTGGCCTAGTAGTTAGCGTGCCGGAATCGCAAACCGATTATCTAAGGCTCGGGAAGTGGTGCTACCGAAACATGCTTCTTCTCAGTTGAAGCTCTATGTGTGTTATAAGAGTGACAGTCAATCCCACTATTCGGTTAAGAGTAACGATTTCAGTAGACGGGTTTCAGAATTAAGATACAGACTTTTTTGATAAAAACATTTAATAACTGTAGAGAAAACTATTGCCAAAGATATATACAACTTTTGCGAAAAGGTTTGTTCGTTAGCTCAGCTTTATCAGGGTTTGGTGGAGCTTGGTACATATTTATAAGGGTAAAAGGGTGAGAGACGGAGTTTCTGGTTGATACAAGTATGTTCAGAATACTGGTATATTTCACATTATGTAAGCCCTTTAAGTAAAATCATCACTTCTACTAGTGGATAGCATCTTCATTCTAGATAATGGAAATAAACAAGAAGTGAGTGGATAAGTAAATATCTAGCTATGACTAAGATATGTCACACACAGAACAAAGGTTGCCGCCTCCAACCTCGGTTCTGGCATTGACATCCTTCGGGTGTATATACTGTGGAAACTATCAGTCAGTTTGGGAAAATTATTTGATGTTCCCTAAACAGAGCCCAAGAACATTGGATTGCACCAGTGTATTGATAAAGGGCAATTACAGTAATTTTTTTTACATAAATAGTGTTATATGGTTTACTATGGATGAGGTCTAGTGCATTGGTACCATGTAGCAAAGTTATAGAGCCCATGCATGGAATAAGCTGTTTTCTGCCAAGAAAGCAAGCACTATTAGCTCAGGTAGTTATCTAGAGGAAAGATGAAGTCCTGGGATTGTTTTGTAACTGTGGGCAATCGACTATCCAGCTTTCTCTGGTATGGTCATTTGCATGGTAAGCGAAGTGGAAGTAGCCGAGGATAGCAGTAACACGAGGGTTGCATCTGCCCGCCATATCTGAGATGGAATACATGGCAGCTTCTAGCACTTCTGAAGTTATTGATTGAGGATTGTGCAAACAATCTGGACTTAATGCAGCACCACCAACTGAGTGACTTGATGGTTGAATACACCAATGCATTTTTTGGATCAGATGGCTAATTGAGTCAAACAACAGTAATGACAAAGATTATGTT